GTGTGTTCGCGTGTGATAAAAGACACTAGCTACGTTCTATCTACCTATTTTTATGTGCATTTTGGATTTGCACATAAAAAACAAAACAGTTGACGGAAACTGCAAGATGCGCATAAATTTAAAAAATGCACATAACCAAGTAGGAACTTTTTATACGATAAGAATAGATGAGCATAAACTGCGATGGAAACACTTTTACAGAACTAACAAAAGACAATTATAAACTGTTATAAAAGATTACGTAATGATAAAAATGTGTGTGAATGGAAAAACCAGTAGGCTTAGCACATTGTAAAGCATCTGAAATGTTGTTTTGGTCATTCTAAAATACCTTAACCGTTTCAGTATTAGTGTTATTATCATATTGATAACCTCAAGAGTCAAGAGCGCCTGCGTTCCGCATCTCATGTCTTCAAATGCCATCGTGCGTTCACTCACTGTATATCAGGGTTGCTTTCTGAAGCAGGTCGCACGGCAGAAGCGCCGCTCGGCGGCGCGCCACGCAGCGCCATGCATTTTAGAATTCTAAACATAGGTTTCTATCAGGATGCACACACCGGCGGCGTAAGTCGGCGGCTGTTGGCGGCGCCCGGCCACGGCTCAGGACGCAGTTCATTTTTCAGCAGCGCCACAGAGCGCCATCTGATTAGTTTCATATTAAATATTATTCAAATGTGCGCATCTCGTGTGCGATACTTTACACTGTCATGTGCGCGCCGTGTCGCGGCGCCGAGCGGCGCTTCTGGTGTGCGACCTGCTTGAGGCGCAAGTCTTTATTAAATGAAGAAAAGATTCACGCAGCTTCTCCTACCACAGCAAATTAAATTTTTATGTTGATATTTGACGCTAGAATATCAGTAATTGACGATTTGTTCACTTTGTCTTGTTGGATGGAAACGTTTCTTTATTCACACGTCTTTTATGCGATAATCCAGTTTTGCGCATAAAGTTCATTCGCATTTTTGGATGGAAACATAATTATGAGGCTTATATGTTGACTTTTTGTAAAGTGTAGACTACTATAGCATGTAGCAATTTTGTTGTTTACACATGACATTGCATTCATTTGCATACATGTTTTAGAAGCTGTAAAATGAAAGCCTCTGTTTGGTGCGGCCAATAACACCGAATGCGCTTTTCCGTTGCAAAAACGCAAGGCGCACCACACCTTTTTTGTTGACAAGAAAAAACGAAGCACGTTCCGCTTTTTTCATGTCACTAAAAAAATGACTAAATCAGCTGTGTATTGTGCACGAGTGTTGCTGTCAATGTTGTTATAATTGTAATATTTAATCATATTGTGATATTCAAGATTTGTAAAGTAATACAGCTTTGGATAACTTAACACATTGACCACTAGTCTCTCTCCATCTTTACAAGTTCTCCGTAATCGTCTTGACAACAAAAACACTGATGTCACACTCAAGGGAAACCCTGGCTCTGTTTTCATTTGATTAAAGAATGAAAAAGCACAAAAATGCGAGGCCTGCAGGGCGCATAAGCAGCACACAAATCACTCGCAGCTATTAGTAAACCATTCAACAGATGCGCCTCTCAATTCAATAAAAGCGTTCGCTGTAATTGGTCCCTTATGCAGCCCAACTTGAAAAATATATAAAATAATATTTTTAATAGTTAACAATACCATTAATTAGTTAAAAACACACCCTTTTGTTTAACAGTTAATCTGAGCATCCCTAGTTGCTGACCTTAAAATTGTTTTTTAAAAATGTAAAACTGCTTTTATTCTTGCCAAAATAACACATAAGAGACTTTCTCCAGAAAAAACAATATTATAGGAAACATGGTGAAAATTCATTGCTTTGTTCAACATCATTTGGGAAATATTTGAAAAAAAGAAAGAAACAAAAAATAATTACAGGAGGGCTAATAATTTTGACTTCAACTGTATATGCTTTTTTATTTGCTGTTTTGATTATAATAAATGTATGAAACTATTAATTATTTAAGTATAAAAACCACATGTCAAGTTTAATGATCTACATTTTAAACCTTAAATAAAATCAAGTTCCTTCTCCAAATATCCAAAATAAACATAAATATATATAAATAAATGAAACAAAGCAAAACTATTGTTGAACGCCTATACCATAATGAGAATAAAAAAAACAGCATCTGAGAACGCAAGGAGAAGACTTTTTCAATGGATTTTCTGCACTCGCCTGCTGCTCATCATGGCACTTTAAACAAAATTTCACTCATTTCATGCTTGAACAACTGAATTAATGCTTGACTATATTCTCATTCAATTACATTATCGATGCTGTAAAAGGTCTTGTGAAATTGAAAACAGTCTAGGCATAGGCCGGTATAAGATTCTGATGATATGATGACCTTGGATAAAAATATTGCGGTTTCACAGTATCGTGGTAATGTGATTACTGCTTTAAAATATATTCTTTTTAAATGTCTGGGTAAAAAAACTAAAACATTTTTCCCCATTTAAAATATTTTGGAGCAGTAAACATGTCAGGCTAAATGAATCATTGCCTGACATGTTTTAAATGAATCATTGACTTCTGCTGTCTTCATTTGTTTCAAAAACACAGATTTCTTTACAATTTTAAAAGGCATCTTTGGAGATACTGTTGTCCTAAAATAAACCACAGTATACCTTGAAAATATCATCCCATGCCTAAAACAGTCACATAAACATTTCAATGTTTATCAGTGGCTAAAAAACACTCGCCGTGCATATAGCCCATTCAGTTCCATGCCTGTTTGTAATCCTGTGATCCTTAATATCACAATTAGCTGGTTCAGGTTTGTTTAATCCTGGAGCTGCACTTTGCAGGATGAATTTAAAGAAACATGACAGGGCACCCATACTTAAAATGCAGCATTTTTTTTGTTTATACGACTATGTAATTAGTATGTTTTAAAGTACTATGAACTGTCATTGTTAAGGAACCCAATCGTAAAACTGAATCACACCCAAAATGTGATTTCTTATGTTTCTTATGATTTTAATTCATTTTCTTGTGATTCCCAACCCTTTGCACACTTCTTTCTAGGTGGTATAGCCTACGCACAAGATCTTTGAAGTGGAGACTGGAATTAATCAGACAGCTCTCCACATTCGGCTGTGATGTGAAGGGAAAATGTTATATTAATAGGATAACACGGCAGAGCCTCCCTTTGGCCATTTTTTCAGAGCTGAATAGAAAACATGCTCTGCTTCCACTACTCGGGATACTTCAAAATGAATAATGAATAAAACGTAAAAAAATTAAAAATAAAAAATAATAATAATTGCTATTATTATTTATTTTAAACATCACAATAAAATTGTATACAAAAATAACTAATTTTAATATCTCAAAAATACAATAAAAACATACACAACCTAACAAAGCAATGTGTATATTGTACCACTAAAAATTGCTGTAGGGGTGTGTGACATTGAAAAAAAGTATTATCTCACTATTTTATTGTATATTTATGGGAATCTTTTTTTTTTTTCTTTTTACACAGGCACCTTGACTGGTTTGACTGGGTAAATAAATAAATATAACACTAAAACATCCAAGCAAATGACTGTATTCATGGAGGCATATTTTAATTGCATAATTAAATGATTAGTAAAAAAACAGATTTATTCATAAATGAAATAAATGTGTTGCTTTGAGAAGCACAAATGTTAATCTCCAATTTTTTGACAATTTTTATTAGCAAAACAGCAAAACTTTACTACCTTAAGATTTTAACTTAAGTATTAAATTCATTATATGTTAAACAATTGTTAAACATCAAGATCACAATTGTAAATCAAGACAAAAATTATTAGTTTTTTTTTTTTTTTTTACAAGTAGCAAAAAAGAAAAAGCTTAATCCAATGCTTATTTTCTGTTAGCCAGAACAATTAAGGTGGTTTAATTCCCAACTTTTTGTGTATAATTGCTTTAATACACAGAAGTAAAAGGGAACCTATTATGCAAAAATCACTTTTATAAGGGATTTAAACACAGTTGTGTGGCAACAGTGTGTAAATAGCCAGCCCCTTAGGGTACAAATTAATCACCTCTATTTTTTTATAATCTCACTTGATAAAAAAAGTCTGCAGAAAAACACTTTGATTGAGATATTCTCTTTGTACATGTCCTAGAAGGAGGAAAGCATCCAGCCCGAAATATACAACTATCTAATTAAAAGTAATTTTACAAGAGAGAAGTTAAAGGCCTACATGTCTTTGGATGACAATTTTGTTCCGCGTAGTCATGTGCAAGAAATAAAGTGCCATGATTACCAGATTAGTGGTAGTGCTACAAACCAAGGTTCTGCCTAGCCAAAGACAAGGAAAGAAGATGGAACGGTACAAGGCCTGGGTAATCATCAACAAGCAAAACAACTGCATTCTGACAGCGAAGTGCACCTGTATGGCAGGGTATGTGAACTTACATTTTTACATGTACATGATTGAGCATAGCGTGAACTTACCTGGTATGAAATGAGACCTGCAGAGGTGAGCATTTTTAATTAGCTCCCCACTCCATCCAGCTCAATTTAGCCAATGCAGTTGGCATTAAAAGCAGTGTGGTGCATGGTAAAAGTTCAGTCGAATTTGGCATCCTACCGCACAACACGACATGTTTGCTATTGCACCCAGTCTGTTTTTGCAACCAAGAAGCCGTGTGACATCATGTGTGATGTAGGTTGGTAATTCCTCTATAGTATCAAGACCTAAATTTTTGGGACCATGACAACCCTACTATAGACTATCTTAGCCAAAAAAGTCTGCTGACACAAGTTTATAGCTATGCCCATTTTGAGAAGAAGGCAGGAAGCACAATCACTTTTGAATTTAAAGCAACAGCAACCAAAATGGCACATTTTGGATAAAAGCCTTAAAAGTGCAGTTTCCAAGATTTACCAAAAATAATTTGTGGGGTATTATCATTTATTTTAACTCTAGTAAAAAGGGGCATAATATGGCCCCTTTAAATGGTGCTTCATATACTTATTGTGGTCCTTACACTTACCTTCGGCAGTTTGACAAAAGGTTCGCGGTACTCCTCCTCTTCCTCACTGTCAGAGTCACCGCTCTGCACAGAGTTTCGAGAGGCGAGGGCCAATGCGGCCTCTTTCTGCTGCCAATCCAGCACGCAGTGCCGTACATTACAGTAGACATTGAATGCAGAGGGATTGCTGTGGAGTTTGATGTCAGGCACTGGAAAGGCCCCATCCAGAGTATCTGTCTGCAAAAAGATGAAAAACAGAAAAACATTTAGGAGAAATACACCAATTAAAGGGACAAAAGAAAAAAGATTGTGGCATTTTGTGCATTTTGTCAGTAAAGCTGATTCTAGTAATCCTGTACATGCTTTCAGAAGGAGCAGGCGTTACTACAAAAAGTCACACCACACTAGCTATGTCTTCATTTACCAATTTTTATTTGCATTTTGGATATGCGCATTAAAAAATAAAAATAAATAAATAAATCGGTTAATGGAAACGCTGTGATGCGCATACATTTTGAAAATGCGTATAAGAAACATATGGGCATAACTGAGTAGGATAAACTTTTACTTGATAAGAAAACATGCACATGAACTACGGTGGAAACATTTTTACCAAACAAATTCCAGTGTGCGCATTAAAGAAAAACAAAAAAGCATGTGTTTTTGTTTTAAGAGATCATGTGATGATAAAAAAGTGTGTGAATGGACAAACCAGCAGGCTAACCACATTGCAAAACATCTGAATTGTTGTTTTGGTCATTCGAAAACGCCTTAACGCCATTTCTGTATTAGTGTTGTCATATTACTAACGACCTTCAGAATTGTCAAGAGCATCTTCAAATGCCACCACGATGACTGCATGTCGGCATCGTCTTCTGAGGCACAATTCATTTATTAAATAAGGAAAAGATTCACGCAGCTTCTCCTACCTCAGCAAATTCAGTTTGTACTGTTGATATTTTGCGCCAGACAGGGCTCGAAATTGCGACCATTTTGTTCGCATATGCGCCCAAAATTTTACCTATGCAACCTCAAAATATATTTGGGAGCATGTGTGCGAGTGCTAAAAATTGTTGTGTGCGACCAGTTTTTACAGCAAAATGTTCACCACATGCGCAGATTTTAGAGACATTTATGCAGAATGCATCTCTGCACTTGAAACGCAGCACTCAGGAATGGTTTAAAACAGATGTCATGTCAACTTGCTGCAGTAAACAAAGCCAAGTCTGTAATACTTGCCCTGCCTTCGTGCTCTTCTTATTGGCCCACCACTGCTCTAGCCCTGAAATATCAGCTGTCAATCACTCAGTCAATGCCTTCTGGCTTGGGATGACAGCGAGAGCTACTACCACGAAAAACTAAAGTGCTGAAGATGAGAATGAAGATAACACTGACAGATTTTGTTATAGAAACCATGGCATCTAAAGTTACAAATAATGACACATCTTAGTAGTAATCATGTGCTGAATGTTAATCCATCATCTACACTTTTCAAAGAGTGGATAAAAGACTTCCATTGGCTTCAAGTCCGCTATGAAAAGTCTGTGGGATGGAATTTTCAGGTAACTGTTTGCCACATCTAGCACGAGAGCTTCTGTTTAATCTTTCATATAATCGCCAGACGCTGTCCGCCATGCTAGTGGCAGCTATTTGTCAAATTTAACACCACGTACACCATCGCAAACCGGCTTACACTGAGTAAACCAATATCGCCTCATGAAAAGTATTGCTATTAACATGACATATGCATGTAATAAAGTACAGTATATGTCAAAAACATCAGTGCAATATTAGACAAGCCCGTGAGAACAGCACAGTTATATCGTTAACAGATTCATTCATGTCAAGCAGTGCGTGCAGGGCCGGTGAGCGCTCAGTGTACCTTTTGGTCACTCAGTTATGTTATAAAAATCTATTTTCTTGTGATTCCGTTTAGACATATTTTTCTCACGCTTGCATATATATATTTTTTTTGCTTGTTAGTTTGATTACTACTGATTTCAAATGCAATACATATGTTTGTATAACACTAGTAACTGTGCTTATAAGTGTGACTAAATTATGGCTGATGCACCTAAATTTTTTAAGTTAGGATCACCAGTGCTACCAAGCAAAAAGGTTAATTTCGAGCCCAGCCAGATAATCATGAAGTGAAGATATTGTTCTCTTTGACTAATTGGATGGAAATGCTACTTTATTCGCATGTCTTTTATGCAATACTTCTGTTTTGCGCATAAATTTAATTAGCATTTTTAGATGGAAATATAGCTAGTGACAAGCTATGCCAAATCATGTTTAAAATCAATATCAATTTAATTGGACAATTATGAAATCAAGATAATAGTTGTTATAATGACTACTTTTTGCATTTGTGCCACTTTACAGTGAACTACGGCTCTTTGTATTAAATACAGCTCATGAAAATGCAACATTTAAAAGCATATTTTTATTCTACACTCACTTTCTAACATCGTTTGAAGGTTTAAATTAAATCCTTCCGTGAGATAATTCTGTAATCATATGATTATTAGTCATGCTGAATCAATGAAAGCAGTTCACTCTTCATAATAAAACGCTATGATGATTTCCTGGGTTTATTCATGTTTGGAGTTTCAGCACCCTCGGGCCTTTGGGAGATCTTTACTACACACAACTGTGCCTCCCTGACAAGCACAATAAAAGTCTGAGGAGGCACAATCTTTGAAAAGGGAGGCAAACACCACATAAGTAACAGCACATTAGCCGAATTTCATTTCAGCATGTCAATTTCTCAAAGTCAATGTCATTTTTAGGGATGTAGTGAAATAAAAATTCTGGATGCACTTGGAATATCAGGATATTGAGCTATTTTGAACATTGACCCACAGGATGAGTAAATGCACACTGAACACTACTGGCAGTCTTTTTTTCAGCTCATATTTTTGGAAAAAAAAGCAACAAAAAAGACATTTTCATATGATAATTTTTTGGCAGACAGAAATTCAGTTCATCCCTAGTCATTTTCACATTAAACTATGACTGATGTAGTGTTATAACACAAAGCAGTCCAGCCCACTACAGTTTACACCACTGTCTGTATTATCAAGATCTACAATGTATCCAAAGTTTCATTGTCCCATTCATCAATCCACCCCCTGATAGGCCTAACTAATCCATTTGTCCTCATATTGGTCTATCTGGCCATAACAAAGGATGATGTAATGCGGAGAAGGTCATTCATTTTAGGCGGACACCACAGAGAAATCTACCCCACTTGTCTGGCACAGTGACAGGCATCTGAAGTCATTAGAAAGCCACACATCTATGAGCCATGCCTAGCAGCCCTACACTTCCTGTCATTTGCTAGCAGCATTGCAAATCAAGAGCAGCTTGGTTAAGGTGTTACCTTACTAAATGACTCAAAAAACTGCTGGTTTTAAGACCAACTGCTTCTGGTGTATAAAGTCACAGTTCAATTATGTTTAATGCCTGGTCACAGTTACGCAGGTATGCATCACAGCCTGGTTTGGCTACTTGACTGTGCAGCTGAGATCTAAAGTAGTCCATTTGATTCACACTGCATGGAAAATAATTGGTGTATCAGAACAGATGTCACTGCAGCATATTTATGAACAGAACACATTAAGACATGCCAAACAAATAGTCTGTGATGCATCACAGTGTTTACCCAAGAAGGGCTGAGGGGGTATTGGGGTGCCGACACACCAACACAAGGAGTCATGGTGTTAATTTGTTTCTTTTAATGACAGCAGTAAACAACTTTTTTTACAAGCTAAAAATTAACATTTATTTTTATCTTTTTTTATCCACATTTCAAGTACACTACTAGTACATTGATGTTAGTATACTTACTAAATAAAGTATACTTTTATAATTGACCTTTACTTTAGTATACTTCTTTTTCCTAAGGTTGTATTTACTGACTTACTAAGATCAGTTTTGTACAACCAGAGGGAGTATTGCTGCTCTGACAGCCAAGTTGTGTTAAAGCTAAGGATGCTCCGATCAGGATTTTTGCAGCCGATACAGAATACTGATTTCTTGGGATGGCGATTGGCTGATACGGAGTACTGATTCTAATGCTGCACACTTTATTATGGATTAATAAGCACATTTTACAGCTTTACAGGAAATAATTCATTCATTTATTTTACTCTCCCTTAGTCCCTTATTTATCAGTGGTCGTCACAGCGGAATGAACTGCCACAGAAAATAATATAACAAAGATATAAAAATGGTTTTTATTAATAAAAATTTATATTATTAAATATTCATGTTAAAACATAAAAAAAGTTTTATTTATCTAATAATTCCAGCCAGCTTTTAGTGAACTTGCAATATTGTTCAAACAGAACTTTCAGTTGTTAAATGTAAAACGGCCTAAATACATGCAAGACCATTTAAACATATTGCTTGTCTCCAACTATTGACAGCAGATCCATTATGAAGAGAGGGATTTGCACTCGTCGCTATGATTTTTGAGTATTTTAACTTATTTTGGAGATCACAGGGCTGGTATAAATTTGCGGGAGAATCGCGGAGCTACCGGGAGAGGTCATACGGTTGGATGAGACACTAGATATGAACGCATCACATTAGCTTAAAACAGTGGAGATACAATGGCTGCACTTGCAACAAAAAGAGAAGGGCATTACTCGCTTGAGTCGCGCCAATAAACTGAAAACAAATCGCATCTTAGGGTGCTTTCACATCTGTAGTTTGCTTCATCTGGTCCGGACCAAGCGCAATAAATGATACATTGTTGCATCGTCTGCCGTCTTTGGGTCGTTTTCACACCACACTGCTGGCTTTGGTCCGAACCAGTTGAAACGAACCAAAATGCAGTCATTTAACAAAATTCACATCTCTTATTGGCCAGATGTTGTTAAACATTTTTCCTAAACTGCTTATTTATTGGTCAGAATTCACGTGCGGGAAAATGCCAGTGAATTCCCGCAGGTTAACAAAACCTTTAACTCTGGAGGGACGACTGCGCTGGCTGATTGTATCCCTGCTTTAGACAAACTATACATTACGAAAATGAAGCGCGGCCGCGGCTGGAAAACAATGTTTAATGCATCAATCGTCACTTCAGGAGGAGCCGTGAATTATTATAGCTAAACTGCAACATGGTCATCTTGCGGAAATATTACCAACGATCCATCAGGTAATGTTTTCCCCTCTCTCTCTCTCTCTCTCTCTGTTGGTAAAGCGCTGTCAACAAATATTTTTCATCC